ATGGGGCCGGCTTCCATGTATTTTAGAATATATAATAAAAAAGGGGTTGTTTTATTTTTCAAAGTGAAGATTTGGGTACCTAAATTCATAATCTAAATCATGTTGGTTGAAGCAATTATTTTAAAAAAATTTTAAAATTTATGTCTTATTTTAAAATTATGATTTCTTCTATAAAAAAAATTCATAACTTAAATCATGTTTTTTAGAGAAATAATATTATAATTCATGATCCAAACCATTATCATTTGTTATTTTTTTTTTGTTTGGGATTTTTATTATTTTTTGTCTTAATTAATTTAAAATTGAATTATCAAATCTCATAAAAAAAATTTCTTCAAACGTTTATTTTTTTATTTATAAAATTTAAAATCAAAATTTTATTTTAAAAAAATCAAACTTTTTAAACACTCCGACAGGGATTGGTCACTATCATTTGTTGTCAACCCTTACCATGATCTACAATAAATAACCCACGTGGAAAATAAAAATACTACTTTATGTAGGAAGTTCCTTACAAAGAATTTATCTAGTTTGGCCAATGACTTGAAAGATGAAGTAGAGGGTAAAACTATCAAACCAACAAAATCAATGTCCTGATAAGAAAATACAGAGAAATAAGAGGGTTATCAATGCAAACAAGTACTGCATTGTACAATTTTATAGGGGAAGAGGGGGCGAACTGGCCGGTTCCTGCCAAACTCCTATGGGTCAGTGACCCATTTTTGTAATTCTAAATATAAATAAATTAAATGAAAAAAAGCGGGACTGGGGTTTTACAGAGAAGGAAGAGAAGTCTAGAGAGAAGGGAAAGAGAGCAGGTGATTTTCTGTCTTTCTATATATATATATATATATGTTATTATTATTACAAACATAAAACTGTATAGGAACAGAGAGAAAGAGAAAAAGAAAGAAAAGGAAAAGAAAAGGCTGATTAGGAATATGATGATGAGGCAACGGTGTTATTTGGATATAAGCATTGGAGAAAAGCTTGAAGGAAGGATAATAGTGGAACTTTTCAGTGATGTAGTACCCAAAACTGCTGAGAATTTCAGGGCTCTTTGCACTCGTGAAAAGGGCATTGGTCCTAACACTGGGGTCCCTCTTCACTATAAGGTCCCTTTCTCTTTCCCTCCCTTTTCATTTGTTTTAATTTAGGGGGTTTGCTTTTCTGGGTTTATGTTGGTTTTGTTTGTGGTTTATATAAAATGACTTTTATGTCATTGAACTTGTCCAAAGTCATGGGATATATATATATATATATCTATATATCTATATATATTCTTTGAATTAGTTGGGGTAGGAAGAGTCTGAGTAGAGTGAAACCATGGAGATATTTCAATTGTTTATGTAATTCATGTTGGTATTATTATCAACCTTGAATGGATATTCCTACTTGATTTTGCTAGTGGATCTTTTGAATAAGAATATTTGGAAATACTTGGAATTTTGATTTTTTTTTTCCTTTTTAACTTGTGGTAGGCTCCAAGATTTAAAGTTTATCTATGATTCTTTCTACATACTATGGTCTAAGCTTCAATCTTTTATCTGTCCCAACAACAAAGAAATGTAAGACTTATTTAACATTTCCTGACTGATAGTTTTGGCAAACAGCATGCTAGCAGGATTCAATTGTTCTTTTTTTTCCCCTTAAGTAATGCCATGTAAACCATATCTGTTATCATATGGGAAAAATTAGAAATGTCATCTAACTATTTGTGATGCTACAAGTGGTCTGTCTATGAAATGCTGGCACACAGTAGTGGTGTCTTCTTACACCCATAAATAGAAAAACTTAGGTGGAGCTTGACTTTGACTTAAATCATTAACATGATCTTGGTTTTAATTTCTTTTTTTCAGAAAAGATATTCTGTATTCATTCTTTGACTTAAAAATATGATATAAGCATGTCTTTGTGGTTTCCAACATTGGTTATGCCAATGTGAGTAGCATTGTGCTGCAAAACACGTATCAATTTGAATTTAATTGATTAATGATTATACATGCCTTTGGATGGGAATTTCATTTTTGCTGAGTTTGAATGATATATGTCATTTGAGTGCTGGGAGTTCATTTTCATCGAGTTATCAAAGGATTTATGGTACAAGGTGGAGATATATCTGCTGGAGATGGTACTGGAGGAGAGTCAATTTATGGTTTGAAATTTGAAGATGAAAATTTTGAATTGAAACATGAAAGGGAAGGAATGTTATCTATGGCCAACGCTGGTCCTAACACAAACGGGTCTCAGTTCTTCATCACCACAACTTGCACTTCTCATTTAGATGGGAAACATGTTGTATTTGGCTAGGTTGTCAAAGGAATGGGAGTTGTTCGTTCAATTGAACATGTAACAACTGGTGAAGCTGATTGTCCCACTGTCGATGTTAGAATTGCTGATTGCGGAGAAATCCTTGAGGAGCAGATGATGGGATATCCAATTTTTTCAATGATGGTGATTTTTATGCCAATTGGCCAGCTGACCTTGATGAGAGTCCTGATGAGCTCTCTTGGTGGATGAATGCTGTGGATTCTATTAAGGCTTACGGAAATGAACATTATAAGGTAATGGGCTTATGCATGTTTATTAATGCAGTCATGGGTTCATTGCCACAAGGGATTGTGCTTGTAAACCTTCTTGCTACACTTGATATTTCAAGATGTTGCTTCCTGGATTTATTGTTCATTCTTTCTCTCCCTTGTTTCCTGTTCCTTTTTAGTTTCTCCTTTAAGGTCTCATTTCCTTAACAGAAACAAGATTATAAGATGGCTCTCAGAAAGTACAGGAAGGCTCTCCTCTATTTAGATATCTGCTGGGAGAAAGAAGGGATGGATGAAGGTGACAACATTTCTTTGCTGTAGATGGTATAATCTTTCAGTGATAAATAAAGTAGTATGATTCTTAATTCCCTGTGGGTGTTCTGCATGTGTTGTGGCTTTGCAGAGAAGAGTTCAAGTTTGAGAAAGATGAAATCCCAGATATTCACTAATAGCTCTGTAAGCTTCATTCTTCACACTTTGACTGACTATCAACTGTTGAGCACTATAGGTTTGAATAATTTTGCAACCTAGCAGCACTAATTTGCTGCCTACATTCCATGTCAGAAAATAAACCTTTTATCTTTTATATCCTGGAGGTGATTAAACATTGACTATTATTGTTTTATGTTAACTTGCTCTTTGTTTTTTGTTCTGTTTATCTTTTAATATCTTTTATCATTGTCTTGTCTGTCAACTTGTTGTTTGGACTAATCTTAGTTATCTGTTTGGACTAATCTTAGTTATCTTACATAGTATTCTATTACTTGATGGGTTATGTGGCTTTAGGCCTGTAAACAGAAACTAGGGGATCTGAAAGGAGCACTGTTGGACACAGAATTTGCTATGCGTGATGGAGATAACAATGTGAAAGCCTTGTTTCGCCGAGGTCAGGTTAGTATCTCCCATTGGTAATAATTTTAATCTCTTGGATGCTGGCAGCTTGGGCCTTTTGGTCTGAGCTAGTCATTTCATAAAGGAAAAATTTGTTGAGATTCATACCATAGACCTTTCATAGAAGCTGCCTTTACAATTTGCCTTTTGGTTATCTTCTTTATTCTGCACTTTCTGTCCATTCAAGCACATTCCGGTCCTAATGATTGTGATACTTATGTGCCAGGCACACATGGCACTTAATGATGTTGATGCTGCTGTTGAAAGCTTCAAGAAAGCTTTGCAATTGGAGCCAAATGATGGTTAGTGATGAACTTTGACTTGACAACGATGAACTTAATATTGGATCATTCACCTTTTAGAAGTTTTTGAGCTCTATGCCTTTTTAAGGGCTTGGCAAGGTGTGAAATGGAAAAATGACCCTCTGAAATTGGGATCTTCAAAAGTGTATTTAACTTTATCTCCGCTTGGACTTATTTTATTTCCTACATATAATTAGGCCAGGGATATATCTTCTTATATTTCGTGAAACCTACCTGCTACATATGCGGGATGACTATATCAAGGCAGTGTATATTGTCAACATGTTAATCTGTGGAACATATCGATACTTTTTGTAATATATTGTTTTTCAGGTGGAATAAAGAAAGAACTTGCTACTGCTATGAAAAAGGTTAGTAGATAAAATTGAATTGGTAGTATCTTGTGGCATTACATCTTATTTATAAACAAATGTGTATATGCAAATAAATGTGGTGAGCAGATCAATGATCGGCTCAATGAGGAGAGAAGGCGATACCGTAAGATGTTCGAAGCACACTCAACTGGTATGTCGTGTGCGATTTGTTTTGTGCATGCTTTTATTCTTTTATTTCTTTAGATGGATACTTGGTATTATTGGGAATGTGAAATGCAGGTGCTGAAAACCATGATAGTTAAGAGCTTCAATTTTTTTTGCTGTAGCATAGTGAGATCATATCATCCGGTTCAGGCTTTCTTGATTAGGATCTCTTACCGTTTTGACAAAATACTAGGTATATGCATGTTCAGCCTCTGGTTTTGGTGCAACGGTTTGATGCTAAGTTTCCGTAGCCACTGATGAGCACTTGCATGCTAATGGACACAAATGTTGTGTTCATTCTGGAAACAATGAAGCCGTAGCTTTATCTTAAATAGTACTGTGTCGTTGATTTTACTAATCTGCTTCAGGTTTCAATGGAAGCAGAGGAAGCATTCCAGCAAGTTCAACTGTACAAATCTGAGGGTTGAACCAATTCTTGTTTCTAATGAGAGTTTTGATATAATTTAATAGGGAACTAGGAAATTTAGACCAAGACTGATCAATTCCTTGATGAAATTTTAGTCCAGACAATCCTTCTTTCTTTCTGACAAAAATTGGTATAAAATGTACAATTTTGTCTCTCAATTTCTTTGTTTTGCTAAAACTTCATTTCCTTGGATTATATAACTTGACAAAAATATAATATTACAAGTGAATAAGAGCTGCAAAGAGTTGCCACGTTTCTATGTACATGAGATTGGCTGCTAGACACACAAAACTCGACTCAATCATCTACCTGCAAAGCAGAAAAACAACAATAATTGACCTGATTGGCTTAGCATACGTCCTATGGTGCATTAGGTCTCTAGCATCAAAATGTTCAAAAAAAAAAAAAAATCACATGGACGCATACTACAATCATCTTCCAATTGCCCCTACGAGTGACAAATATTGCTTAAGAAAGAAACATACCTGCTGGAACAAAATCAAATGGTGTAGCTCTGTAGATGAAACTTAGCACCATTTGCAACATGTAAGATAGTAAGACTTTAACAGAGGTAAACAGTCATGAAGCCATTTTTCAATGACATGAGCAACTCATTCAACATAAATACACATGGTACGTAAATGATTCCTCATTGAATTACTACTAATTCTATCCAAGGCATTCAAAAAAGAAACAGAAATTTCACACCTAACTTCAACTATTAGCATCTTTACATCTTATTCTTTATTGCCTCAACCATTATAACAGCCTATTACTTTGCTATACTTCAAGCTTTTGACGATGGCTGCATATGGTTATAAGAGAATTAAAAACATGCCACCACACAACATTAGAAGTGAATCGTAACATGCCATGTTTTCCAGGTACTGGAAAAAAAAAAGAGCTATACAAATGAAGATATCAACATATCTAGCCTTCTCATCTGTTTTTTACCCAGCATTTTGAACCTTTGTTTACTTTCATTCTGAACCATTGTTTACGCTTGTTAAGCAGATTATCCTACTCCTTTTTTTTTTTTATCTCTTTTTCCTTTTAAATGGATAAAATGCGATATACGTATTCCATCATACTTTCCATGCTTCAAAATGAATCTATCAAATGGTTCTTAACTATCCCTCCCACATCAATAATATACTGACATTTTTTTTATATGAAGCATACCGACATTTTGAAGTGCTAAAATGTCTCTCCCCAGTCTCCTTTCACTATCCCTTCCATTCCGTAAGTAGAAATGCAAAGTACTTTACAAGAACCCTCCAAAGTTCTACCTATTTTCTTTTGAATTGAAGATATAAAGTTCAGGTATATGACATACACCAGATGAAAATAGCAGATATTGGAATGGTCTGGAAATTGAAGGAAAATACTAAATAATCTAATTGCATATGGTAACAAGTAACATTAACATGAAATAAAGAAGACAAGCACATGCACACCACCAGACACGCATATACATGCTAGTCTGTGCACACATCTGTTTGTAAACACGGTTGCTATATATATTTTAGTTAGTACACATGTATATATGCCTTCACAGTGCAAATATTGAACAAACATAACTGCAAAAAGGCGCATCTTAGCAATATATGTATCATTTGCATCAGAATCCATCAATCCCTGGAACATTCTCTTGATAAAGAATGGTAACTTGTGCACTTTCTGCTAAGAAATGAAGGAAGAAAATGTTCATGTCCTGCTTGCAACAGAACAAAAGATTCATATGTTACAGCTGTAAGATAAACGAAACAATAATCAAGAAGCAAGTATGAGGATTGTTAGGATTAACAACACAAAATGGCACTCTTCTCTAACTCACCTCAGAGGTAACGTCTTATGGTATAGTAAAATATACGAAACATTTAGAAAACAGCACAGTATGCTTAAAAAGATTACCAAATTAAGGCCATCGATTTTAAGGTCTTATGTGTCAAAGGGAAAAGAAAGAAAGAAACAACAAAAATCACTTTGCATATATGTTTTCCAGTCTAGAAAAGGCTATATTAGCACACATTCCTGAACAAATCCACGCACACCTCCAACAAAGAGAAGGTTATACCTCTGTACACTTTTAAGCAGTTCAGTAACTTCCTGGTCCTGTTGTTGTTGCAATGATGCCTCTGGCATCAAATTAACAATCTTGCAAGTACACATGGGACACTTGCATGGCTTAGATACTGAGGAATAGTTCCAGAATTACAGAATAAAACTGCCTGCTGAAACCAAAAAGGAGGAGGGGAAAAAAGAACCAATTTGAGGACACTTGATTTAAGGTCAAACATGTAACCCTGTTCCCCAATTGGGAGGGGGGGAGTATTAACAGACTATAAATCACTAAAACTCCATCCTTTGCACCAAAGGCAAGTTAAAATTTTAACTGAACTCAAGTTTTGGCAATCCGCGGCATAGGATACGCAAGGAAAAAGAAATCGTTTATCAATAATTTTAGTAAAAAAATAAGCTTTTGTCGAGAAATGACAGCAATGACAAACAAACAATGCACAGAACCCGTAAGTTGCAAACAACACAAACATCCCTTTGTCCTTTGACGAGGGAAAAAGCTTATAAGTACTCAACAAACGTTCTTTACATGAACATTTAGCCAGTTAGGGATCCATAAGTCTAGGTAAATATCTAATTCATGTTCCTGTTTACATAACTCAATAACAATCTCATTAAATTACCAGCAAATAAAGAGAAAAAGAATATAGTAAAAAAACCAAAACCGAATTAAAAATATTTGTACATTGTAATTTGTAAAAAAATGATACGGATTAAAAAAAAGGTCCCATAAGAAAGCCTCCAGCTTCTTTATCATTTTCATTATAAAGTAAAAGATAGAATAAAACAATGATGCAAAGAGACTCGTATCTTAGTAGTATACATTCTTTTCTTCAAGCAATGTACCACACCCTATTTAAGCTGCCAAGAAAACATAAAGCCTCGCATATAAACAATAAACCAAAAAATTTAATACTCAAATTACATTTAAAACATAATACACTATTTGAGAATGGTTTTTAAGGGATATTTTGAATGAATCAACAAATTTATGTTAATAAGTAATAATTTTTTAATAATTTCAAATATATTCTGTTGTAAAAAAGCTAAATCTAAAATTTTATTCGTGTTTATAACTAAATTCAACATTAGTTTCAAGTTTTTTAGAAAAAAATCTTATATTTTTTACTTTTTATTCTATTTAAAATTTTTTTCATCAACCAAATAAAATCAAACTTAAAATTGTAATAACGAAATAAATTGATAAATAAAGAAAAAAAAAGAATTTAAAAGAATTATCACAATACCAATGACCGCAATTGGATCGACAAGGAACAGTGAAGGAGCCAAAGTAAATTAGGCAGCAATCGTCATTGGGAGGGCTTTCACTTAACCTCTTACTCTCTCTAGATTCCTCCACCTCTTTCTTTTTTTTTTTTTTTTTCTATCTCTTCTCCGTTTCCATTTCCCCTCTTTCTCTTTTCGCTTCAAAATGTATCGCTCAAGGTCTTTTCCATCAATTTCTCAGGAAAATACGTGGCCACCAATTCCTTACGAATTGAGGACAGCAACCAAGCGAGACATCCTTCCAAGTAGCCATCAGGTCAATCCACAAACGGTATTTATACTAGCCATACATGCAATGGGAAGGATGAAATGGTTGTGGGGAGAAGGTTGCCATGAATTCAAGCCCGAGAGGAGGATCACTAAGGAAGGAAAGCTTAAACGTGAACCGCCAAGTAAATTCTTTGCCTTCCTTTCAGGACCAAGGATTTTTCCAGGAAAAAAATTATCTTTTATTTTTTTTCTCTAATGAAAGCCACAACATCAGCTATAATCCATAACTATGATGTGCATGTAACGGAAGACCAGGATGTGAATCCCAAAAACAGTGCTTTGCTTCACATGAAGCATGGCTTAATGGTTAGGATTAAGATTAGATGGACATTAGTCCTTCAATCTTAGTCCAAAGTGCAAACTATAGCTCGTGTTTGCAATTTACATAGATCTTACATTTTAGGGACTAATAAATTATACCAGAAAACCATTTAGAATAAGATTAAAGCTCTGTTGGACTTTTATTCATGAAGATGACTTTTTGAAAGAAAAATATCGTTCTTAGGAACCATAGTTTCCTTTGTTCTTGGGGACTTATTAGTTAAAGTGTTTTTTTTTTTTTTTTAAATGTCTTAGATTTTAACAAGTTGTTTTAGATTTAGTCTACTTCTTTGAATGAATAAAATGCATTTATCCAAAAAAAAAATTTTTCTTGCACCAACCAAACAAAATCCAAATAATTTTGATCGTTAAATTTGAATGTGTACATTTTACCTTAATTACTCCATAAATGTTGTTTTTATATAAAAGGGAATCTAATAATATCCTCAAATATTAAAGAATTTGGTATTGTCTGCTATGATTTTGGTCGGTTGTTTGAACAATTCTCCTCTAATACCATACATATATATATATAACACCACAAATAATAAATGTGTATTTAATTTCCTCTAATATCATTCCAGCAACATTAATTAAATGGAACAACTTTGAGTTGGGCAAGCTGATAAGCATGTTAGTGGGAGTCCTTCACCAAACTTTTTGTCTTCACAATCTAATCTAAGGTCAACTTGATTAAATTTCAATTACAATAACTAATATATAAATTCTCAACCACATGGCATTTATGATATCTATACTAGAATTAAGATTAGCAAACATATATGTTTGACTTGGATGAACAATTGCCAAAATTGTTTTTTCGATAAAAAAAGGAATTAATTCCGTTAAAAGTAATGTCTGGGTAGTAGCCGACTAAAGTGTGATCATATGCTTATCAAACATACCGTCAATTGAAGGATTAATTGGATGAGGACCACATGTGACAAACATTAAAGGAGGGATGGACCAGTTTCTGCATTCAGAATTATGGAAAATAAGCTGACGCTTTAATTTGCAGTCTTCATGCATCGTAGGAATGGGCCCCAGTTTCTGACAGGAATTGGTAGGTCGGCGGCGGAAGCAATGGAGAGTTAAAGTGGCTAGTTGGCGGTGGAGATGGTAAATGCAAATGGAGGGCAGGACAGTACTCTTTATATCTCTAACTCTATTTTAGGTGAAAAAAAAAAAAAACCGCTAATTCAATTAAATCTTAGAAAATAAAATTAAATAATCAATCAATTATATTAAAGATAATAATTTAATATGATTTGATTTAATCGATATATATTCACGAATGAAAAAAAAAGATTTATTAATTATAAAAAATTATAAACATACAATCAAATCAATTACTCATAATTAATACTTATAGACTCTCTTAATTTCTTTCAGTTTTATAAAATATTTTCAACTTAAATAAACACATAACTATATGCACATTTTTAATATAAATAAATACATATCTATATACACTCACCCATTATAACTATGTGGACTCTCACTCTCTTTTAGTCCACTTATAAATATTGAAACATATATACTCATAAGATATAAATATCCAGTAATCTTATGAGTCATCTATTCCATAAAACTTCATAATTCTTTTATATGTTTTTTTTTATATATAATCTTATAGAGACTTTACCTATTTATAAGCATACAAACATTTTTATTAAGAATTTTTCTTTTTTAGAAATCTTATTTTGCAAGTTAAACTTACTTATTGAAAATTTTTTTCTCTTAAAATTTTTTTTTTGCTAGTATTTTTATCCATCAGATAATATTTTATTAATTTCAAATAAATATTTTATAAGATTTGAATCATTATTCTTCAATAGATATCTTTTTCCCTTTTTGGGTTGACTTATATTGCTTTTTTCGCTAAAAAATGTGTACGTGTTGCATAAAAGCCTGATATTATATATATATATATATATATATAATATGCATAAAAGATCGAATTTGAGTACGAAACTAATACACTTTAAGAAATTACAATCTCAATGTTTACAATATTTTCTTTTATCTTCAAACTATGTGACCTCCTAGAAAAAGATGGGGTTCCATTTTGGGTCATTACTAATCATGGCAACTTGGCAAAGTGGATATATGGAAACCTCTCATTTATAGCTAAATGCAAGCAGCTTTGATTGTGACTTATTGAAGAGCAAGGCTACACCTATATAAAGTGCCCTAACTGAGGATATGTTCGTCTAAGCAACTTAAGTTTTATTGCTCTCTAAAAGCATGATGGCAGTGTCTGGCTATCTCGGATGCATGATCTTGGGAATTGTTTTTATTCGTTTTCTCTATCGCTTCATTGACAACAATGGTCTTCCTCGAAACTGGCCATTTGTTGGGATGATTCCAACATTACTTCTCAACTTGCATAGGCCTTATGACAAAGTTGCCGAAGTCCTGAAAAGAAGCAATGGCACCTTTCTTTATACGGGAATTTGGCTTACTAACACAAGTTTCCTGGCCACCTCCGATCCTGAGAATGTGCGTTATATATTAAACACAAATTCAGTTTATTTGAAGGGTTCCGAATGGTTGGAGCAGTTTGATATATTCGGAGAAGCACTTTTCAATTCCGATGGTGAGGCATGGAAACGTCATAGGAAAGTTTTTCATGCTTTCTTGAATCACCAATAATTCCGCCAATCCCTTTCCAAGGTTCTTCAGGAACGAATAGAGCAAGGGCTTGTTAAAGTGCTAGAGTATGTTTCTAAACGTGAGCTAGTGGTGGACTTGCAAGATTTGTTTGTAAGGCATGCATTTGATATTGGTTACATAATGGCAACTGGCTGTAACCCTGGCGTACTCTCCATTGAATTCCCAGAAAATCGATTCCATAAAGCCACAAGTGATACTCTGGAGGCAGTGTTTTACAGATATGTCATGCCTGACAGCCGCTGGAAGTTGCAGAGTTGGCTTCTGATTGGGAAAGAGAAGAGACGAAGCGATGCTTGGAAGGCTTTTGACGATCTTATGGCAGAATATATATCGACCGAACGCGACAAATATTCCAACAAAGCAATGGCATCAAATGGAGATGAAGAAAATATTGATTTCAATTTTTAAAGTGTTACTTGACAGGACATGAGGTGACAGGCCCGATAACACCAAGGGACAGTCTTATAAGGGACAACATTATACATTTTTTGTTCGCCAGTGACGATACTTACAGTTTAACTGACTTGGTTCTTCTATCTCCTCTCCAAGAATCCCTTGGTTGAAAATAAGATCAGAGAAGAAGTGAAGAGAAACTAATCACTGAAACAAGTAGGTGGATTGCAAATACCATCGTGCTTCAACGAGTTGAGCAAACTAACAGATCTCCATGCAGCATTTTGTGAAACACTAAGACTATGTCCATCTATTCCTTTCGAATTCCGGACATGTACTGAACCAGACATTCTTCCGAGTGGGCATCGCGTCCTTGAAAACACAAGAATCATAATAGCAAAACATGTTAGAAAATTTAAGAAAAATAGAAATAATATGAAAGAAGAAAATATTGCTTTGAGGCATGAAGAACACTATCTTAGAAGCAATTATGCCTATTGGATACAACAAAACCTTAAAAACTTTCTAAATAAAAAATAGTAAAATTGGTTAGATAGAAAGATCTATTTATAACAAATAAACAGTCACCAATTAAGCTAATTCAAAAAGTCATGATATTATGTATAGTCATATTTTTTTTGTTTAAATAAACTTTATTTAAACAGTCATGTTTTCTCTGTTCAAAACATGTTTATTTAAAATTGATAATATTTCAAAATAAATAAATAATAAAAAATTAAAATATTTAAAAATTAAATCAATTTGCCAAACAAACCCAAGTGCCCAAGTGCCTATCTTTTGATTTTTAAAATTGTTTGACCCACTAGAAAAACTCCTAGCAAGCCTAAATAACTTGGCTCACTCCAACATTTAGCTTAATTATTTAATTAACATAAGTAATCTCTTTTAAACCATATATAAATGATTTTTCTACTTAATGGTGGATACACCACATTCTCAACTACTAATAATCCCCACTAGTTTGGAATGTGGTGCTTAATCTTTAACCTTTTATACAAATAAATATTATGAATACAAAAAGATATTTTTCGATTTAAACCTTCAATTAGCGTATATACTTTAGAATTCTAACAAAGTTGATGGTGTTCGTAGATACCTCAACTTTTAGTATTAAAATTGAAGATATAACACATATAATACTTATTTAATATTTTGTTAGAGGTTTATAACCGCTTTAGTACTATTATGGCCATATGCTTATCCTTATTCATAAACATTTACAAGAAAGTTTTCAATTTTTTTGTTGAAGCAACATCACTTCTATGTTTATATAGGTGGAGTTTCTTGTTTATGTCTCAATTGCTATAGACATTAAATTGTAAACTCTATTAAAAATTTAATCTCATCCTTCATTTATGCAATGGCTTACACTAGTATTCTAAATATTTAGAATGGGTT